ATAACAAAATTCTATATAAAACTGTTATAATGTTAGGAAGCTAGTTATTAAAAATTTCTTGTACCTACTCAGTTTCTTTCATGTTGTATATTTTTGTTGCAACTTGGTGTCTCCTCTTTCTTTGATATATTTCTGTCATATTTAATTTTGTTATTCGTTCATATTTATAATTTTTATTTTTCTATATACTTATATTTTGTTAATGATGTTCTTCTTCTATACTTTTAATCGTAAATCATTTTGTTGTTGAGTTTCCTTAAAAGTTTTTCTTTTCTTTTTTTTTTTTTAAATCTTTTCCTTTTATTGAAAGTCAATGGTAATGAAATATTTAACTTGTACTTGAAGAAATACAAACAAAAATCTTCTTTTGAATCTTTACAACTTTTCAAAAAAGAATAATTTTATGAATTAAGTGGGTTATCCAGTTATTAAAAATTATAATTTATTTATATATATATATATATACATATATATATATATGTATACATAGCATTAATATATAGAGAAAAGTTTTGTATAAATCAATTTGAAAAAGAATTCTTTTTCAAGTATTGTAACAGATCGCAAACATTTTATTAATATACATACATACATACATACATACATACATAAGACCAATATACGATTAATCAGTATATAAGAATATTATCATCAATTAAAAATGGCATGAAATTTAAAAACTGTAATTCCCTCTATAATTCACTTAAATATAAAAATAAAAATTTTTTTGTTTTGTTAAGAAAAATAACATTAAAGGAAATAAAGAGTTGATTCCAATTAATTATTTCTTCATAGTACTATCGTTATTACTGAATGACTAAAGAATACAGGCAATTTAAATATTCCACAATTCCACCATACAATCGAATTCCGAAAGCGTAAGAGAATAATGTGATGACAATAAATATTGTTAAATGATATTAAATCTAACATCATACAACATACATTAATAATATTAAATAATATTAAATAATATTAAAATAAAATCTCTCCTCTTTTTGCTCTTAAAATATAATATGTAAATAATATTTATTTAATACAATTTACAAAATTTATTAAAATCAACTATAATATATTTGTATTTTTAATAGCTATGAATAAAATATTCTGAATTTAAGGCTACTTTTTTATTTATTTTTAATTTTCTCTTTATTCTTCTAATTATAAACAACACAATATTTGATATTAAATTGATCTCTTACTGTTCTCTGCTGTCCATTGCTCTCTTATTACTTTTTAATGTTATTATTCTACTTTTGTGTTGTTATATGATTTGTATTGTGTTGTGAAGAAGGTGAAGTAAACTATTTCTCTGTTGCTTATATTCAGTGTTAAGACGTTCTGTTAAATGCTCTTAAATCGATTTAATTTCACCTTTTATTACACTCATTAAAGAAAATTAACATATTCAATAAATTACTATACCATAGTAATGTAAATGTTACAATATAAAATTTTAACAAAATTATAACATTTTTTATTGTAAAATAATTTCAAATAAAAAATTTTTTAAGATCTTATAATACGAAAGTTGTTCCAACTCATAAAAAAATCATCATAATATTTTTTTTTTTTAATTGAAATAGAATTTAATTTTTTTTTTATTTTTTTCATTTTAATAAAAATTTCTTGACTTATGTACCATGTTTTGTTATTTTAACCGTTGTCAAGTTAAATGAATCAAAACGGTATTACTTATTTTTAAAAAAAATTCAAAAGATGAATAAAAAATTTCAAAATTATAGCAACCAATTTTTTCTACTTACCTACTGTTTTTTTTTCCTTATTTGTTTTATTTGATTTTTGTTTTTTGATTCATTCTTGTTCGTTGCATCATTCCTGTAAAATTGTACAATTTTTTTCGTTTTTTTACTTAACAAAAATTTATTACCCTTATAATGAAAAATAATAATTTAAGTGGATATAAATTTAAAAGAAAAAAAAAATTAAGAATCAAATAGCAAAGAAAATTAAATTTTATAAGTAACAATTAATAATAATTGAAATTTTATACAGTAAAACCTGTTAGAGGCGGAAATGCAAGGGACTGAAGTTTTTTCATTACGGCATAGGCAGATTTAATTCTCAGGCAGACATACAATTTTTAATTTTGCAATTACTGCTTGATTATAAAATCGTTGTGCCCACATTTAAGCATTGAAACTATTGCGTCAATTCAAATCGATTGTGCTAACTAAAAAATTGTGATCAGTTTGTTAAAAAAGGTACAAACTGTTTGATTGTTTAATCACATACGATCATACGGTTGCATATGTGTAGGCGCTTGAATATAAACCTGTGGTACAGAACTAAGCAATCAAACAGTTGCAAAACTAAAATTGCATGCCTTTTTAAAAGCCTTAACTTCCGGTAAATTTATTGCGGTAATAACTGATTTTCAATTCTTACAGTGTACCACTTTAAAAGGTTTTACTGTATACATTCTTATACATAAAAAAAGAATTACATAGCAGAATAAAATTAAAGAAGATGGGAAGATAAAATAATAGTTATAGGTAGTAATTATTTAATTGAGCTAAAAAAGAAAGAAAAAAAAAATATGTAAAATATTTTGTAGATTAAATTATAAAAAAAAAATAGATGAAGTCTTTTTTTTTAATTATTATTGTTTCTACCTATGTACATAAGTATATAATTTTTATATAGTACAAACCGTTGATTTTTGTTTTCTTAATAAATCTTTTGTACAAGTTAATCGTGTACTTAGTAATTTTTTTTTTTTACTTTTATTTGCTTTCTAAAAAAAAAACTTTGTTTATATTTCAAAAGTACTGAAGTTGAAGGTAATAATTATTATTATAGATGAAGTTCCTTCCTTGAATACAGAATTATATTCACCAGTATACAGGAACAATTCTTAAACTATTGCTAATAACATAATTTTTCATTTTCAAATTGTATATTTAAAAGAATTGTTATACTCGTATATAAAGTTTCCTATTGCAAAAATTATCTAGAATTAAAAATACTATGCTGATCTTGAATTTAAATCAAACTATATTTTATATCAATTAAATGTTAGTATATATGTATGTATATATAAAAGATAGTTGTAACAATATAAAGAATGATATTTTATACTTATATTAGTTTTTATAATTTCTCACAATTTTCGTGCATTAAATTTTTTTAATAGAACAAGGAGAAAATAAAAAAAAAATTGAATTACTACTTAGCCTAATAAAATTATGTAATCTTATATAATTTAATTTCATTAACTTGCGAATAACGGTAGTTAAGAATTATAAAGTGAATTATTTTTCTAATACTGGAAACGGTAAAAATTTTTAGTAGAAATAATTATATATGTAATTAATTAATTATAAGTTATGTGCAGTATAAAATTTTAATGGTTTTATTAATAATTAAGACTAATGAATTAAGAAATTAAAAAATAAATTAAGAAATTATCAAATAAATATAATAAATGTTTTATTGTATGGTCAGATTAAATATGTGCCATTTAATAAAGTAAATTGCAAATAATAATTGCAAATTATTTGTCTACTTCTGACAACAGTCTTTCATGCAAAAATTCAAAATAAATGCTCGCAATTATGAATTAAAAGGCATTAAATCACTTTCTTCAACTGATGATCTCTTATGGTTTCTCTTGTATTTTATATATTATTTGTATTCTCTTCAAAATCTCTTCTCTAATATTGTATTTCCCTTGAAAAATTGGTGTCATCACAGCAAATTTTATATGTTTACATAATTAAAATGTTCGCATTCTCAATTTATTTAAGTCATTAATTTTATTCGGTATTAATTTTTCTGATTTTTTTAATGTAATGTTAAGAAAGTATTACTGGTATTAGGACAAAAAGAAACATAAATCTATGGTATCGAAAACCAATTAATATTCTTATAATATTCTTACAAAATCTTCATGTACAACCATAAATGAAATATAAATTTAATTCTTTAAAACAAATATGGTAATGTGATTAAAATAATTTTATACATGATATCATGTAATAATTTAAATCGAAATGACTGTTAATAAAATTACAGGCATAAATGTGTAATTACATTATTTTTATACAGTAAAACTCTAATACAACAAATCACTTATAGGTAACGAACTTCTCTATTTAGTGAACAATATAATTATTGCGACGTCAGCAAATTTTTTGTTAAAATAAATTCTTCTCTCTATTACGAGCAAACTAATAGTGGCATGTTAATTTTATTGGAACTAATATCAAATATACAGATAGCAATAATAATATCAAACTCTAGTAAACTGAAATACTCATATAAATTTTTTTACTGTTGTCACATATTTCCTACAAATTTTAAAATATATATTACATTTTGCATTTTATATAATAATCTTAGAGAAAAGAACATCTGGATTTTAGTATAATAATAATTATAATGTAATCATAAAATTTTATTATTATAATATCATAATTATTATTGCATAAATGCCAGTAATTATTATTGTATACAATATGAATTATCAACGTAACTGTATATTTATACTGTAATATTTAATAGTTCAGAATAATCAAATTTCGTCAATTAATTTCAACACATTATTTAAAATAAAATGTAAAACTTATAATATAATATGCAATTATGCACTAATTCACATATTTATTATATTATTTTGTATATGTATGTATTTAAAAAAAATAAATGTCACAATACATAACCTCAATTACAAAAGAGTATAACAATTTTTCATATTATGCATATTTTAATAAATTATAAAATATAATTGAAATATAAAAAGAATTCTATTTATATTTAGTTATACATATTTAATATTATATTGGATTGAATTCCCGGTATACTTGCATTAAAATTTAATAAAATATACACTTAAATACTATAAAAATTCATTTAAACACGTACATGCAAATATTTAATACTTTTATATATAAATAATTTTTATTAAAAAAATTCAAATAATATTCGTAATATTAATATTTATAATAATAATTATTATATATTTTTTCTCATTTCAGTTCATTGAAGATTGGCATCATTGTATGGACTTTGATGACTGCAAAAATGTAAGTTTTCTAAAACCAAAATAAAACAAATTCTAAAAAAATTTCTAAAAACAAAATACCTAAATAAATAAATAAATAAACAAGAAAAAAAAAGCCTGATATTCAAATATTTTTGCATTTTCATAAAATTTTCACATATACACTACATATTTTAATATTTATTCATTTAATTATTAATTTTCTTTATAAATAATCGAATTAAATATTAATTTTATTTAAATTGAAATATTATTTTACTGTTATAATATATTTATTATACATAATAGTATATATAGTCTAAAAATATTATTTAACGCATACTTGCATACCTGCATATACCAATTTTGAATTTATTATAAAATAGTTATTCATTGTGCGTACGAGGGTATTATTGCATATTGTATCCTATATAATATATATACATATAAACACACACATTTAATAATAATTATAATATTATGACTAGACATATCGCACCCCTTAAATAATACGATAATAAATAAGAAATACAAAAAAAAAATTATAATCAATTAGAAAAATTATATTATTGGTATAACATTTGGCATCTCCAGATTTCAAAATTCAAAATTTTGTAGAAGTGATTCCTAAATCAAAAACAATATAAACAAGTTTAATATAAACTTTCATACAAATGGTTTATTCAAAAAAAAAAAAAATTTCTAGAGGAAAAATTATAATGTCGTTTAGATAATTTTCTAATCTGAAACCTAGTTGAATTCAAAATTTAATAGTAATTTTTCTATATAAATTTTCAATGGGTCAAATAATAAATAATTACACAGGTTTGTCTCATACATTCTGTATGAGAGTTTTAAAAATATATACTTGTTTATATTTTATTTGCATATAATTAGACCAATTTATTTTATTTATGAAATATATATTAGTGCATGCTGATCATTATTTAATCCAATATTAAAAGAAATTAATCAGTATAAAACTGGTTTTTGGTATTAGTATAGTTTTTGATAACAAGTTTGATAATGTTTTATCAAAAATTAAATCACACTCATACACCATACAACAATATACAACATATTCAATTTACTTGTATACTACAAGTAAAATCGATAAAATCCTACTTCATACAATATGTTTGATATCAAATTTTTGTTCAAACTTTAATTAGTTTAAACATTTTTATGTATATGATAATCTTTTTGCTGCTGGTTCAATAATATTGAATATAAAATTGTGTTTATGAAAATAAATTAACTATATTAACATTTTAAATTTTTCATTATTTATTTATTATACTTATCAATAATAAAATAATATAACATGAATATTTATATATAATTATGTTTTTTAAAATAAACACATGCACAAATGTATATATATATATATTATAAATAAACAAAGATTTAAAATATTATATTTTATGAAATTTCAATAATAATTTGCAAAAAAAAATTTTTTAACACGCACAAAATAACATTATTTGTGTTTATAAGTTGGAATATAAGTACTTCGTTTGAAATAAATTATGAATTGTTTTTGTATTAAAATTCGATATATACATATATTTAGTCGTAAATATGTTATATAAATTATGAATGCATACATTATGTATATCAATAGGTATTCAAAGTAAAATTTTTATCCTCTCTTATAATTACATATATAGTATATTGCATTAAATTATATAATATAAAATTAGTAAAATTGAAATATTAAAAATATTGTGTTTAAGAATTTATTTATACATGAATAGAGGAATGTATATAAGTAAATAAGTAGAAAAATATTGATATATATATACATACAAACTCTAATGCTTGTTTAAAATGCATAATTATTATCAGTAATAATACATCAGCTGTAAATATTATGTAATTACTGATTTATGTATACGATATTCTCCTATACTTTATATACATAAATTTTGAAAATATTAAAATTTTTATAATTATACGGATTATATTTTAAAATATTATCTAAATTATTATATTCTAAATCGGTTTATTAAATTTCTATGCGATCATACATTTTAAAATAACAAATCTTGCATCTCATTATTATAAAAAAAAAATATCCGTAATGTAAAATAATAAGTTTTGCTGAATAGCACATAATATTAATAAAAAAAATTTATTTTAATTTTTGGAATTTATTAGAAAATTATTTTATTAGACCCATTTTTTTAAATTTCTTTAAATGACTTATATTGAATACCTTTGTATTACCGATAAGAGTTTACATAAAATATTTTAAAATAAAAATGATCACTAAAATTTCTCTCCCATATATTTAAGTACAGTACAAAATGTTCTCATTTGCATAAATTTACTCATTTATTTTTATGGTCTAGTGTTGTGCAAGCACAAAATGGGGTATGTAATTGCTAGGTAGAATTATGTTCAAATAATTAATATTTAAAATTTTTTTTTTTTTAAAGAGACAAGGTTCTTAAACAATTTTTTTTATGAGAAAATAAAATTTTTCACTGTAATTTCTCTTATTTTTTATATTACATATTATTATTTCCCTTAATTAGAATTATTTATTCGCTTTTTCTTAATTCATACATATGAGGAATTTTGAGTAAATTTCTGTAAAAGTAAAGTTGTTGCCACGTTAAATTTATTTTGATTTAGTTATAATAGAATTATAATTATCTTGTTAATGTGAGTAATAAAATGTAAAACCAGAGATTATTCTCACAGTAAACATTCTCCTCTTATATATTTTTGAGAATTCATAAAAAAACGCAATAGCTATTCTCCATATGACGCTCTTTCACTTTAGTGTACTAATTATACTCTTCAACTTAATCGTATAATTGAAAAATTTAAATGAAAATTATTTTATATTTAATAAAAAAAAATTTCTATGTAAGCAAAATATTAAATGGAAATCATATAAATTTTGCGTAAAATCCATTAACTTTAATAACGAAAATTTTAATTTAATTAATGCAATTTTTAATAATTAATTATTTAAAATTTTTTAAATAATTTTATTTTCACGAAATTATTATTAATGTTAATTTTTATTTATGATATTAAAATAAATTTAATTTTTTTTTTCTCAAATTTTTTAAAATTTCATAAATTTTATTTTAATTAAAAATTATTAAAGCATTAAAAGGGAAAAATCCCATACATTACAATTTTTACATTTGGTTTTTCCAAGAAAAAAATTTCAAAAAGAAAAATTAATGTTTAATGTTGTGTGGGAAGTGTAAAAATTAAAATTCTTTCAAAAGGATATTATTTTACTGTTATATAAGAAAAGGAAAAATTTTAAAATAATTATTATTCATGTGATAATTTTGTTTGACCAAACCTTTAAACTTTTTCCTTATAATTTTTCTTTTTTTCTGGGATAAAATTTCTGGGGTATTTTCTAATTAGAATTAGGAAAAAGATGTTTAAAGTACCCTATAATTGTTGTCTGTGTTAATGAATAGGGAATTATGATATTCACAGAAAATATTCAGCAGGCACAAATAAATAAGGACCAAACTCGGCAAGTAGTTTAGTTTTAAATGAAATTGATTGCCATGATCATTCTTACAGTTTCTTATTAACAATTATTAATTGAAAATTGAGTATTACCTTTTACGTAGCTTTCAATGCTTTAAATGTTTTAAATTAAAATATTTACCTTCATGAAAAAATACCTTGAAGGGGATTAGGCATGGGATTTTATACTTAGTCGAGGATTATAATAAATTCGGACTACAGAACACTACTGCTCCGCTCCATTGTAACAAACACCTATCGTCCAAGTATTACAAACGTATCATATTTTATCATCGGTTAGCTTCTTGTATTTGCACAATATTTGTAATGGCTTTATAATTTACACAAAATTAAAATTATGCCAACGTTATTGCTGTTACCAATTTTTCGGGAAAAACAATACTTTCAACTTCTCTTAAAATTCAAAACGATATCTGACTCGTAAAAAAAAAAATTGAAAGGAAAAAATAAGGAAGCCATAAACCATGAAAATTAAAGGCAAAACAAAAAAATTTGTAACTTTTCTTTTTTCTGTGCCTTTCTTACAGCATTTTATTCTAAATTATATGAGGATCGAGTCATAATCAAAATTAAGGCGGTGAATTAAATTTTTATTATTTTGTTATTCTATTCTTGTGTTGTTATTGTTGTTTTAATGCGTTGCTATTTTTATGCTTGTCGTATTTTCTGCATAATTTTTTTTATTTCTAAATTTTTTAGAACTTTTCTTTCTTCTGAATTTTTTTTTTCGCTTTTTGTTATTCTCTGGCTAGAATTGTGTTTGTTTTTCTGTTTTTCTCAAAATTTTACTTTTCTCTTTCTTTTGTTTAACATTTTTCTCATTTCTTTTTTTTTTTTTTTTTGTTTTGTTTCTTTTTCCCCATTTTTCGTTTTCTTTGTTTTGAAATGGAATTAAAAAGTTTATCTGTTTTTATTACGCTAATGATTAACCAATGGAAAAAAATAAGAAATAAAAAAAAAAATGGGAGAATAACAGAAAAAAATGTAAAAAAAAAATGTTTTAAGGAAAGAAGGGAAGAAAACTCATAATTGGCTTACCAACAACAACAACAACAGAAATAAGGCAAGAAAACGCTAAAAGAAAAAACATTAAGCAAAACAAACAAAAAAATAGAAATTATGTAAATTTTATATTTTAAATTGAAAATACAATAAAAAACGAATTTTTTTTTTTTAATTTATAAAATTGAATTAACAAAAAAATAAATGTATATTATCGTTTAAGTAAAAGAAGAAGAAAGAAAGAGCACAAAAATAACAGTGTACCCAAGCGCTACTATACAAAATTAAAGAAACACGCACGTTTTAAAGCAGACGCATTTTAAAATAAAATTGTTCTTGTTATTTCACTTAAATAACCTAGATTACATATTTAACAACAACAACAAGAAAAAAAATTAAATTAAACAATTGGGCGGTTCTAAAATGTTTTATATACATATTATGGACTCTGTAGGTATGGTATCTCTAATATGATAATGACCATATAACATTATTATTTAAAGCGTGCAT